TAGAAGAAAAACCCAATCAACAATATACATCAATTATATGTATATCATTGACCCATCTAATCAAAGTATATAAGGCATATGTCTATTAGACACACCGCCATAGCCAGCCGCGCTGGCCGGTGGCTGAGTGGCTGAGATACCCACCGGAGCTGGCGGAGAGGGTGTCGGAGTAGGCGGAGCCTGCGGCAGCTCAGCCACGGAGACAGCCAGTGCTGCGTGAGTCGAGGCAATGATGGTGTTGGCAGCTTCGCGGTACTTGTACCTTAGGATCTCGGCTTTGACCGCGTTGACCTCAGCTTGTAAGGCTTGTACCTGCTGCTGCAAAGCGGAGATTGCGCCCATGCAACCGTAAACGGGGTCCCTAAGCCTCACGTTGGCTTCGTAAACCAAGCTATTGGCTGCGTCTGCTCGTTGGAACTCGGGCACCTCCTAATTAATGAGTTATTATAATAATTAAGGAGCTTAATTATAAGAAAATCGTGTAATTAAGGGGGTTGAATACAATACGTACAAATCGAGAAAGTATAGTTATCTAACGATTAATTAGCGGGAGATGATACTTGCATTTGTGTTGTAATATGGATTTATAAATGCACTTGAATAATTTGAAGTCCCACATGAGACCAGTGCAAAAGCAATGATCTAAAGACGCTTTTTAAATCACAAATGTTAGTTTTAGGATGCACTGACTGTTAGACATTTGTATTTCCAGAGGAAAAAAGAAATATTAATTTATACTAATAAATTTCATATTTTAAAGTATGACATTTCAATATGAAAGTATATATATTTGTTGGAATAGTATGACTGTCTAACCAAATTAGGTGTGGAGAAAGGGTTCTTTTAATTGAGGCAATGTAAGGAATATCTTGAATCTACCTGACCAACTCAAAACAGTAGGTTATAACATGTAAATGTCAACTTGAAGATTTGGAATCTAGTATTCAGCTAGAATTGATTAATTTGTTATGATGTGTTTTAATTAAAATCCCAGCATTTTACAATAAATCCATCAAACCAGGTGAAATTGACCAAACTTGATCCATTACTAACACATGCCCTAGTTTCCTTAAAGTTGATAATCATTTCAAACAAAAAATTCAATGATGAAAAAAGAT